GCGCAATATGGTTCATGGGGTCACGAAGAGTCGGACACGACTTAACGACTAAACAACAATCGTAGTGTCCTGGGAAGTTTAAATACTTTGATATTCTTTGTCCTTATTTTCCTTTCTGATGCCAAACTTCTATTACTTATTTTGTGCAGTCCTACACAGAATCCAAAGGGGCTTTGCTGATTGTTTACAATTGATAATTATAGTTATTAGCTGATAAAGTACTTGTAATCTGTCTCACATGTAACCTGTGTTTGCATAACTATCTTCCCTTCCCTCCCCCCCCCCCCCCCCGCCACCCCATCCCAATTTGAATCCTAGATTAGTCACTCTATGCATCTCATGAAGTGAGCTGTAGCTCAGAAAAGCTTATGCCTTTTAATAAAATGCGTAAGGCTGAAGAAATGCTACCAGACTCTTTCTGATTTTTGGCAACCATAGACTAACATAGCTCTCTTGCTACATTTATCTACATGTATTTGCAGACATCTGTCTGGCAAAATACACCTCCCAATAGGTTGCTTTTGAAGCAGGTGCAAGGAAAGATCAGCTTTTTAAAACAATTAAACCTACTGTTCATGTGACACTAGGTCAGTGTTGCAGACCAGCATTCTAGGAAAAGCCTTATGAAATGTGTTATCCGAACAAATCATGAGGCTGTTGCATAACAATAAACCCCATGAGAGCAGCATGGCACCAAAATGACATAGGGGGGTTGACAGGCAGTCTCTCTAGTGGGAAAGCAAAACGCCCACAAGCACAGGTTAAACATATCGGAACATGAGTTTCAATCTCTGAAGCACAAGAAAAAATTACAAATTGATTTCTCTGAGGGTGGCAAGGAGTCAGTAGTTTTCAAAGTTTGTATCACATCAACCCTAATTTGCAGATAATGTCATTCCATCATTTGAGTTGTGTGCAGCTAAAGAGGTGGGGAAAATCAGCATTTGGAAGAAAGGGGTCATGAAGAGTCAGACATGACTTAATGACTGAACAACAACAACAACAACAAAATTCACTCTCATGTATCTAATTACTTTTTTCCCCCTTCTTCTTCCCTGTCTCATTCTCTCTCTCTCCCTCTCTCCATTTTAGGTTTATAGCTAAGCCGTGTGCCTTAGGCTTAAAAGTCCAAGCCAATGGACCACAGAAAGCTCAGCCTAATGCTATTCTTGAAAAGGTCTTCACTGCCATTACAAAGGTACAACATATTCCTAAAATCCTTTTATTCATTATAGGAAAATGAAAAGGTTCTTTGTCAATATAATTAATTATTGGGATTGGGCACCTTTCCTGGCATGTTCATTTGATAGGTGTAGTAATGAGTAGTAACAGAAGCATCCTGCTAATTTTCCCACAGTGATCCAAAGTGCTACTATCGCATAAGACAGGATCTGAGAGGTTGGATATATTTGTAGGTCTGTGCTGGTGTGAATGGTATACTTACCAATTATGGCAAGACATATTTTGGAAGGGGACTTGGTGGCGCAGCGGCTTAATGACGCTGAAAGTTGCCGGCCA